CATGACATAGATATAATAAACTTCATCATAAGTTTGGTGTTTGCATTTTGTACATACATGTATTTCCTTCCTCCATGCTATAGTTCGTATATTAAGTAATATAATCGCGTATGGTGAATATGTTTGAATTTTTTTGCTGATGTTATACTTTACATTCACTTTATGTTTTCAATATTAAGAACAATATTATGGATATTAGCAATGGTTTGACACGAAATGAATCGCGGTAAAAGGAATACCTCCGTTGCATATTTTACTGTTTCCATCGCTTTATGACATAGTAACTGCCATATAATTTTATTTACTAAATATGCTAAATGTAAATACATTAGAATATAGTCTGGTCAATAAAAGAGTATTATGAATATTTAATGAGCCTTAGTGCATATCAGCTAAGTCATCTCCATGTGTAATTTTCTATGGCAATGATAAACACGGCTGCAACTAATATTGAGTACAGTACTGTATGAACTGCTGCGTTGACTGTAAGAGGAAATTTGTTCGATTTTCTATGCTCGTTTTACGCTATAAACTTCATAAATAATGATACAAGTAGTATATCTGTATGTATTAAGATCTTATTTATCAGAGTTAATTGTTGATTGTCTGTACATGCGAAATCGCCAACATTTATTTTATTGTGTTACTTTGCGCAGAATCAGAGGGATTATCTTTGAATTTATATCTAAGTAACTCATTCAATCAAATTAAGAAGTATTGCAATTGGACACTTTCTTTGGCATTATCATTGACGACATGGTACATAAATTTTATTTTTAAGGATCTAAACACTCATAAAAAGATAGTTAAAATATTGTTTGGTATATTTAGAAGCACTGTGATATCCTTTAACAAAACAAAGTCAATAAGAATCAGAGACATTCTTGTTTAAATAATTGGATAATTTATATCTCTATTTTATGCCATTCATTTACATTATTTCCCTGGAGTATATTCAGTAAAATGTTTTAAGACAAAAGAAATGTTTCATTATATACATAATATGTATTAAACTCTTATTTTATTGAGGACAAGAGAACACCTCGTCAAAGACAATGCAATTTGTTTGGAAAAAATTAGATAAATTTAGAGGAAAGCATAATAACATTTTTTTATTATTACAGCATGTTTACTCCCGCCACATTATATATGTATTTGTATATTAAGATATCCTTTTCCGCCGTTTTATCTCAAAGTTAGTAGAAGCATATTGAATACTGTATTTTCAAATAGTTATGTTCCTACTTTTCTAAATCGCAATATTCAAATTAAAATTAAATTGGTAGCCTAGTTTCATGAAAACAATTTGTTTTTAAATTGTATAACTTAATTTGGTAATGTTGATTGTAGATGCGTATGAAATAAAGTTATCGTCCTAGGTGTTATTTGAATGTATTGAAATGTTGTTGGAATAAACACTTAATCTAGAATCACCATAATCATAAGAAAATTTTGAAATGATGCAACGTATATAACAGTGAAACTTAAATACCAAATGTCCACATACAAGATTTATTTGCAATGTTGGTGCTATAACCGTACGTGCATGATAACGAAAATTGGGGATGTTTTCCAATTTGTTAGTGAAAGGTTGATAGCGTGCATTTGTCACAACTGCTCTCCGTGCATGCAATTGAATTTCATATTTTTGTTACTCTTTGAAGAAAATATTTATTCTAGGGATGACGTATGTCGTTGTTGTGTGAAACTAATTTTGCTGATGTTATATTCATTCAACTCGTTGTACGATACGTTTTTACATTTCACATTATGTCTTTATCAATAAGATATGAAGACTTATATACCAAAGGAGTCGCCAGCATTTGGTACTATTTGATATATAGAGTTATGTGACTAATGTCGATACAGAGGAGTTATGTCAATACTTTATAAAACGTACGGGAGTTCTTTTTATACCAATGAATTCGATATATTTAAAACACATATTAACAGTAGGGGGGTGGTGTTGTAATGTTTTCATATCATTAAAACATATTTGAGCACAAAGACCAAACTCTCTTTCTGTAAATTAAGATTAAGGGTAAAATCTTAACTTCAATGCACCAACAGTAAATTACTGTAAAGAAATAATGAGCAGAAGCATCATATCTCACAATCTATACAGCCTTAAAAGATTATACGATTCTTGCAGCTGATCAAATAATTGTTCTATGTCATGTTTTAAATATTTAATACGGCGCCAAATGGTTTGTATGCATTCCATGTCCGACCAGCCAAGGTCCCTGATACAGATATTAAACATCATCATAGTTTGCTTTTCTAACTTCGTAAGTTTCTTCTTCGATTTATTTTCTTCCTCCATAATATAGTTCGTATATTAAGTAATATAATCGCGCATGGTGAATGTGATTACGTCTTCAATATTTGAAGCAAAAATATGGATATTTGCAATGATTTGACCTGAAATGAACTGCGGTACAAAGAATGGTTCATAATTTACAATTTACATCGGTGCGTGACATATGTACTGCCCTTAATTATGCTAATCTAAGTTTATCAAAATATCAATAGATATGCCCTGGTCAATAAAAGAGTATTATGAATATTTATTGAGCCTTAGTGCATATCAGTTAAGACATCTCCATGCGTAATTATCGGTGTCAATGACATACACGGCTAAAATATAGTGTATACTGTATGAAGTGAAATTTGTATGGAATTCTGCGTCGACTATTAAACGCAATTTGTCCAGTTTCCAAGCTCGTTATATGTTATAAATATTATAAATAATGATACAACTAGCATATCTTTATGTCTAATCAAGGCTTTTTAATTAGAGTTAACAAAACGTTACTCACTAAAGACAGAAGACTAGTTGATTTTTAATATAAGTTATGATTACATATTGTTTGAAGACTAGTTTTAATGAATTTATTTAATGTATTCTTGCTCCCTGATTTGCATATAGGCAGATACGACCTATGTCATTTGGATATATTCGTGCTTTGATTGTATATCTAAGCAGCATGCTTCCAGATGACTCGAGATGAACCAAATATATCAAGCAAATCAAACCAGGAAAACGTACTAAGATTGTAAGAAAAGTAAAATGACTCAAGATTCAAGAAATAATTTATATGTGCAATTTATGACTGATTCTGCAGTATTTATCACCTGTCCAGATATTACAAGGACTGTTTTGTAAACTTTGACCTCTTTTACGTAATTTACGTGGATTGCAGGAGTCGTTTGCAATGTGTAAATAGTTACTTTCTTTGTTCACTCCAAAATATTTACTTTTTAAATACATCTTCAAAATTTTCATAAATATTCAGATAAATCTGGAGGCATGCTGCTTTAATTGTTAGCGCAATCGTGATCACGTTGTAACGCCAAATGATATTCAATACATTTAATGAAAATTTAATGAAAAATATAAACATTTCTTTATTAAAACAGTTTTTATTTCTGATACATAAATAAATCTGATTCATCTGCTATATTATATCGTATCATGATTTAATGCACGGAATTGTGCATATTTATTGAACAAATGTTGGTCTTCAAAATGAAAGAGATATTATTATAATAGCTACACAGGTGTTCTTATTGTATAAATGACGTAATACAGAATAGTTGTTTTCTAACACATTACACAGCCTTCAATGGTTTAAGGTCAAACTGTATGTATTTATAAACAAAAAAAGCTTCTATTACTTTTTGAGTGTTGTAGACTGTGTCAATAAAATAACATATTTCAATGCAGAGAATTATAAAAAATTACGCTCTGATAGGGACAAATAAATAGAGGATATTTGTTTGTTTGTGTGTAAGATGAAATTTTATTTCATCGAGTGGGCTTTAAAAACAGTATTCTCACGAGTGGCGTAGCCACGAGTGAGAATACTGTTTTTAAAGTTCACGAGATGAAATAAAATTACATCTTACACAACAAACAGACAAATTTTCTTTTTATTTTATGCTTAAAAACAAGTTAAAACGAAATTTCCATAATTTTAACGTTAATATTAAAATCTGTTTCCCCTATTGAGAGCCCCATTTAGACGGAATTTCTCATTAAAAACAAGAAGTCTTGAGCTGAAAAAAAGTCCGCCAATCAAGGTTAAATGACGGTGATATTTATTCATTTTATTAAAAAAATATGAATGATCGCTTGTTTTAATAATAAAAACAAACAATTCTTGTAGGAGAAAAAATCCAACCATCCATCCATATTTCTGTTACTTACTGCGAATTTATATTAGACCTGGCTTTGTAAAATGTAAGCGGCAGCCATTTTTTAAAGTTGAGTATTTCATGGGAGGAAAATAATTGTGTAAGATTCAGAGGGATATAATTTGGATTTGTTAGTCATACACCTTTTTAAAAGAAAGAAAACTTATTTGAGGATTGTAACAGACAAAAAATAAGTGTTGACAGAAGTGAAACATTCAGAAAGGGAGCTATGAAAATGGAAAACTTGGAAGCTTGCTAAGGAACGCTGGGTTGTTTTACTTATTCTACGAGTGATGGCTGTCAATGCTTTTCAATTTTTCATAAAGCATACGGCAGTTATTGCTCGTAGGATACTTTAATATGCCCAAATGTCATCAAGAGCAGTTTGCATGGGGAAGGAATGTATTTTTCAGACTGCAAAAACGAAACAAAAAAATTTAGAGACGAAATTTGGTGATTGGAATTTGAATGAATAGAAGTAAGTTTTCTCTCTTTATTACTTTTGACATTTAAGTTATTTATCTATTTCAGCTTTGCTATTTCTTTTAACAGCCTGACATTGTCAGAATTGTCAGTAAAAATAAAATTGAGGTACCACATGGGGAAAATCTTAAAAAAGTAGTTTCGTCATTGAAAAAAGTGAAATTATATTTTGATAATTTTCACTGTGAAATTATCAAATATAGTTTTCACGGATAAATCAGTAATCCACTGAAAAGCATAAAATAAAACATGTTATTATAATAGAAAACTATATCCGCATACCATTGCAGTAAATATATATTGCGTGAGAAACATGAAGATTCATTGTCTATATCACTTTATTTGTTTTCATTAACAACAATATGTTTGATTACAAAGTCATATATTAGAAACGTTTACTGATGTTTTTGTAACAAACTTGGGATGTTAAGACTTTAATTTAACAAGCGGGAAGAGACAGGTAATAAACAAAACATAACCGACTGGTATAAAAGGTATAACAAAGATTGGTACAATATGAGTTCTGTATCACGTGACCATAACTGTTTCCTTTTCCTGATCAAATAGTGTAAATACTCCTCAATATATTGTCCGGGTACTCCGACGCTGTTAAACAATAACAAAACAGATATATCGGTGTCTCACATCCAATATAAGTAAATAAATTTAAGATCTCCAGCTGACCTCAAAGAAACAAGTTTGGTTTTTCACAAGATTAGCTTGAATTGTGAAATCATCACGACGACGTGAGGGTATGCCATCTAGCAATTGCACTTCTGCAGTTCACCATTTCATCCCAGTGTAATCTTTCATCCCCATTTGAATCTTTCGAGATCTTTGTTTGTCCTAGAATTTCATCATTTCCCATTTTATTGTCATGACATACATGGAACTCCAGAGAAACGGAATTCAAGAAGTCTTTTGGCAGATTAAAGGTTAACGCCTCGTTCCACACGGGCGTGAGTACATTGTGCTTCGTTGATGTCTTCTTCTTTTTTGATTTCTTGCCGTTACCAAAGCTGAGCAAAACCTTTACATAGGGATCTGAAAATGTTAATATCATTGTAACTAATGCAAGGAAAGGTCGTTAAAGTATGTAACATTATAGAATTATATATAGAATTATAGAGTTATATTTTAAGAAATATCTCTTGTACGCACACGTTTACGGTAACGATTCGTATGCCTTTTCTTTTTTAAACAATAATCGTGCTTTCCTAGTCGCTACTTATTAGTAATACTCGTAATCATTGCATGATGATAAGGTGAAGGTCACATTAGCCAAATCCATAGATTTTGCAAATTGTGACATTGTATTCAAAATATAGTACTAATATGTTACAGGTTTGTAATATTAACATAATGCATTGATTTACAATTTGTATCATTTTGTATCATTATGTACTCTGTTCAAGTAAAAATAAATATGTTTTGTTTTGTTCATATGACAAAGCGCCGTTATAGTTTATTCATGTATTTATTACAGATAGCACGAATTTACACGTGATGTTTGTTTGACGTAACGTTGGTTTGGATAGGTCGGCTAGTACTCTTAATATCGTTATGCCATTAACGATTGTTTCTAATAAAAGAAGGTTAAATTTAGCGCCCCTTTTTATCACGTTATGAAGTAGTTATTGTTAATTAGATCAAAATCACCCGGAAAAAATCGACAGGTTAATATCACGTCCTATTGAACGTCTATCGCAACATGAAGAAATTGGTAGTTATATAAAAAGTCATTTTAATATATACTGCACGTTTGTATAGTAGTTGTTCATGGAAAATCGAAACTTATATAATGTACAAGCACGCCTGCTGTATTTATGATGTATTTTTCGTTTGTCGTAAAACAGTATGGTTCTGCTGTATTATAAATTCGTTACAAAGATGTCTTGCATGTTTTATGGCGATGTATAAATTGTAATTTGCAATATAATCATCGCCTATCATTAGTTTGGACTATACAAGCTGAATAAAACTGTAAGTTTGTAACGTCGCTTTTCATTGGATAATCGTGACGATTAAATGGATTTATATACACGGCTGCTGTCAATTTATGAAGAAATCTATTTTTTAAAAAAGAGAGTTTTCAGCATTATAAATTCGTTATAAATATTGTTGACAGGTTATATGGCCGTATATAAACGTTCTTTTTTGCAATATAACCGTTTATATAGAGCCATAAAACCTGTCAAAATTCTTTATAGCTAATAATAAACACGGCTGCTGTCGATATATAAAAAATATTACTTTTTGCTCTAAAAATGATGCTTGTTGTATTATAAATTTGTTTTAAATATTCCTGACAGGTTATTTGGCTGTATATAAACGGTGTTTTGCAATGTAATCCCCGCCTCTGATTTTATTTCCAAACAACCGTTTATATAGGGCCCTAAAACCTGTCAAAAGTTTTTATAACAAATAATATAACCAGTCGAACATCGACCCCACCAGCAAAATATTAAGACGAGGGAAATCTAAAAAGGTATATTATTAAGAAACAATCTTCTACATTTATTGACATTGGCATTCCGTATATCGTTTAGCAGAGAATATTGTCACAAAGCTCATTACTGAGTGACAATACGTCTGGCCCGGAGCCTCTTGTTGCTTTTTTAGGAAAATTGAGTTTATTATTCGACGAAATTAGATAATTAAGTTAGGTTGTCAGGCCAATAGTAATTACTATACTAATTTATTTTTTATTGGCAAAGCATGAAAACGTTCATAGGAACAATTCGACTTACCAGGTGACTGTATTAAATGGCGATAAAGTAATAAATGTTGTAGTTAATGACTATTTTCGTTTTATACATGAATTTATCGGATTGAATTATCTTTATATGGCCCAATACATGTATTATTTATACTCATATATTGAATTTGTTAAAGGTATGTACCTACCCATTGTTATTTTGCCTTCTTCAGTGTGTCGTAAGTTTCTGGCTTTCATTACCACAACTGTTAATCTTTCAGCACTAGACAAGTAGCCTAGAGAAAATATTAGGTCACCATTCTGAAGAAAAAGCAATTATTTTGATATGATCATTTTAAAGGGATGACATAGAAATATACAGTGAACGACAACGAGGTCAGATTTTCAACAAAAAGCAACTAGGACAGAGATATTAAGGAGACCAAAACAAGAATATCTTTACAAGATATGTTAACTTAAAGTATGCAGACATGACATTAAAACTAGGAGCATGCTAAACGCCCAATCCCATCTAATCACAACTTCGTTTATTGCTTAGATACTCTACGCTACGCAAGATAGTGAAGCGTCAGTAAGGATATGAGTTTAAAAAGATCTATCAATTCATCAACACATCGGTGCATCTTTGAGGTTTGCTTACATGTAAGAATAAAAGCTTTGAGGTACTTTCAAAACTTTGTCATATAAAAGCTATGGATTCCATGTAAGTTTTTTGACACGAAAGGACTGGAAATATGTTTCAAATTCGTGTATCATTTTTACATCTAACGTAGGACTGCAGTGAAATCTAATTTGCAAAATGGCAGATGATTCTATCACACATTCTATCAAGAATTTTCATTTGTATTGTGCAAAATGACCCAAAATGAAATTTAACCCCTTTCGAGCTAAGAATGGCACAAAAACAACATTTTATATTTAAGTTTGTGTTATAATCTTATCACCTTTTGTATATTTTTTTCAATTTAAAATACACCAGATGACCAAGCTTACAAAATCCAAATTTTTTGTCATCATTGGTGTATTACATTTTATATAAGTATGGCTAAAATTTAAAGGGACTCCACTGCGCTTTCTGAACATGAGAGAACAGGAAATCATTTTTTCAAGATTGGTGTTCCATTTGATGTAGGTCTAAACCTATAACTTGTGTGCAAAAATTCATATCTGTTTTTCCAGAATGGTTATTCTAATTGTGAAACAAGAGCACCGCTAGGCGGAGCATTATATGCCCGAATGTGTATTTTTTTTCTTTACTAAGGATGAAGCATTTCTAAGACATTATATAAATTAAATTAAGTATAACCTCCTTCAAATAGCAATCCTCCTATAAAGTTTGAATACTGTGGGCCAAATGGAACTTATGCTCTGGAAACTGTTTTTAGTTTTGAGGTTATAGCTACTATGACTGTGTGACCCCAAAATCAATAGGGGTGTTCTACCCAATATGGACAATCATCCTATGAAGTTTGAACACTGTGGGCCAAATGGAACTTAAGTTACGTTCCGGAAACTGTTTTCAGTTTTAAGGTAATAGTGACCTTGACCTTTGACCTTGTGACCCCAAAATCAATAGGGGTCTTCTACCCAATATGGACAATCATCCTGTGAAGTTTGAATACTGTGGGCCACATGGAACTTAAGTTATGCTCCAGAAACTGTTTTCATTTTTAAAGTAATAATGACCTTGACCTTTGACCTTGTGACCCCAAAATCGATAGGTTTCTTCTACCCAACGTGGACAATCATCCTATGAACTTTGAACACTGCCGGCCAAATGGAACTTAAGTTATGCTCTGGAAACTGTTTTCAGTTTTAAGGTCATAGTGACCTTTACTTTTGACTTTGTGACCCCAAAATCAATAGGGGTCTTCTACCCAATATGGACAATCATCCTATGAAGTTTGAACACTGTCTGCCAAATGGAACTTAAGTTATGCTCCGGAAACTGTTTTCAGTTTTAAGGTGATAGTGACCTTGACCTTTGACCTTGTGACCCCAAAATCAATAGGGGTCTTCTACCCAATATGGACAATCATCCTATGAAGTTTGAATGTTGTGGGCCAAATGAAACTTAAGTTATGCTCCGGAAACCAAATTGCTAACGGACGGACGGACAGACGGACGGACGGACGTACCAACTTTTGATGTTTATGAGGCAAATCAGCTCATAAACACCACCTGGACCAACGTCCATAAATAAGCTCATAAAAACAAAAAAATAGCTCTTAATTTGAATTTTATGAGTTTTTGTTTTTTATTTAACTACGGAATGAAGCTTATAAATATCAAATGTTTGCTCTGACAGACAGACGGACGCCAGGGGGTATAACATAATATGCCCGAAATTCTTTCGGGCATATAAAAAACATAAACTTGAAAAGGGTTGCTACACCCCCGCTAAAATTGGGCTGAGAATGGCTCCAAAATGTGATTCTTAGTTTATTTCTGAGTATATCTATTAATCATCAGCATCATAATTATCATCGTCATCATCATCATCATCATCAAATTCTCTGTATTTATTGCAGTAGCTGATCTGTGTGAAAAAGTCACAAAATCAAATTGTATGTTTTTAAGCTTTTAGACCTTAGTGGAGATCCTTTAAAAGAGTCAATATAAAGATACCTACCGTTGATATTCCTTTTTGTTCCCTTTTGGCAATAGGTTTCCAGTACGTTTGTCGCTGAGAAAAATCCACATTATCTAGGGGCAATTTAACTTGTCCAATGCAGTCATGTCGCGAAAACTGGTCATAGTCAAAAATGAGCAATTCGAGAGTCATGGTATGTAACATATCTGGGTCAATTTCAAAAATAAATTCTTCGTCAAAAACAGGATTCGTAGTTTTCCTATGAACTTTGCTTTTCAGCTGATTTCGTCTGTCGGGAAGAACGCATACTTTACAATATGGATCAGAAGTTCCACTAAAGTCACGTGATACAAGATTTTCTGCTTCAACAAGGTACACAGTGAGCAAGCTTGTTTCGTAGTTAAATTCGATACTAAAGTTAATACTTCCAAGAGGATCCTCCTCGATGCTTGCGACAGACTGTTGTCTTTGTAACGACTGTAATAAAAAAGTAGAAACTTGTAGTTTGACAAGTATGATAGACGATAATAAAAATAATATGAGCCGTGTCACGACAAAACCAACATAATGGATTTGCGACCAGCATGGATCCAGACCAGCCTGCGCATCCGCGCAGTGAAATCAGGATCCATGCTTTTTCGGCTTACCAACTATTACAACGTAGAGAACTGATAGCGAACAACATGGATCCTGATAAGACTGCGCAGATGTGCAGGCTTGTCTGGATACATCCTGGGTCGCAAAAAACCAAAATTATGTTGGTTTTGTTCATGACGGCGGCTTCAATAATTTATGGCCCTAATCAAAACACAGTTTTATCAGGACAGTCCTGCGTGATCAAAATTAAATTTTATGGTAGTTGACAAATGGTTCTAATATTTCTATATTCTTAATTATGTCTTTTTTTACCTAGTAATTAGCAAAAGAAGTTAATGTCACATCTCGATTTTTATTGCCAAAGCCCTACTTAATTACTCTAATTCATGGAAATCCTAATGAGAATGTTCCAAATTATGTCCAGTTCTTTGGTCACGCAATGTCACGTGCACTGTGACACTTTTAGGTATTATTGAAAATAAAGGAAGAGTGTCTTAACTTTTATGGCCTGGCGTATCGGCCTCAATTATTTATTTTGTAATTAAAGATTTAAGGTGGGAATAAAATGCCGGTGATTAAAAATGATAAAATTTTCTTTGAATAAAGGATAAAATGTCCACGATGAACTTCAACTGTTCTAAGAGAGTAATTATGTCCGAGTATACCTTCAAACAAATAAACCAAAGAACTTATTTTTTTTTATTATTTTTTTTTTGTGAATAAGGTAATAAGATTTTAACAAATACGTTTCAATAAAATATAGCTACCCTATGTCATATTTGCTCTTTCAGTTTTAATGTTAAGTATTTTACGTACCCTTCTATCGTAAAGTTTTGAATCTATTTTCCGAAAATCTATAGCGTCTTGCATTGATGCACGACGTTGCCTATTACCAGGTGGCATTGGAGAGGGCAGGCCATCAGTGCTTATGATAGGTGTTGATTGGAAGCTATACGTGAATTCACGGAGACCCCGTGGTCGTACCTGAACTGTTATCTGTGAAAAATAAAGAAGCCATCGTAAACATAAATAGAATGATACAGCAAATACTCAGATTGAAAGTTATTAAAGGGAATTGATCCACAATGGAAGGTCCATCATTTCATAGAAAGTAAGATAATAATGTTAAAATAATTGCAGACATAGTTTGATTGAGTCTGTACATGAAGGATAATGAACAAGCGCAACATTCCTCATGCCATCTAGCACCGGCTTGAGCGGTTCTCAATTTTCAACACTTAAAAGTGCTGGAATCAATGATCCCGAAGGACCAGAAAAAGATGTAACAACACTTAAATATATATTGATTAAACGTGTATATGTTCAGAGATAAATAGATAAAGCCTTTTCATTTGTAAGATCTCGATTCATAATGACCTGTTTTGCAAATATTAATATCCCCAAGTGCAATATATACTGTTACTATAAGTATTTCTTAAAATCATATTGCGGTAAACCACAAATATGATATCAGTGTTTGCTGTCTGCAAAGATTGACAATACCACATGCTACACGGGGGAATACCGCAATATCGTCATAAAATAATGCTTTTCCTAGAGACATTCATAAGGCAAGACATTCATTCTAAAAGCGACAAATTCTCATCTATGACTCCCAAACGTTACAGCACCCACATAAATTGGCATTTTAAAGATTATATTGTAAGATATATATGTACGTGAAGAATGGCACTTATTGATTTCAGATTTTCTATATATGAAATGCTTCGAAAAATGAAACGCGACTGATTCTATTTAAACGGCTTCATAGTAATGTACAATGGTCATTCATCATTTTCCCGCACTTAGGCCATAACTTGTTAAACATTTTAATATAAAAGATAATGAACACGCACGTGCAGTAGGCAAAATGATTTTGATACATTCACAATATTGTTCATTCAAATACATAAAATGTTTATAAATAATGTACATGTACAGTACAAGATAACAGAAGCTTTATTTGCCTATATATATTTTTTTTAATGGTGACAGTTTTAACTACTGAATTTCAATTATACCATAATTATGTAAATGTAGCCTCCATCTTATTTATTCTTTTATTTATAAATTTATTTATTTATTTATTTATTTATTTGCTCATAATAAATTGGTTTATTATTTTTTCTTCAGTCTTTGGAAATACCATTAGATTTAGTACATTGAAATTGTTACATTTCACAATTTCAATCATGCAGTGCCACAAGTAAATTTCCTCTATTAACAATGCATTCGATAGGTTGTATAAAATGAATATCAAAAATAAATACTTTCTTCTTTTTAAGATAATTTATTACTTGATTTCAGGTTATTATTTGATTTAATCGAAGTCAAGTTGATTTTAGACCAATACAACAAGAATTTAAATTGTTCACGGATAAAAAAGACATGGGGAAAAATATTAACATAGTAAATTAAATACTATGCAAAGCAAATAAAAAAATCAGTCATAAAATAAATTGTAAACAGGAACAACAACCATTTGAACAATTTAACATATTGCCAAATTTAAATAATCTTTTTTTTTTCGAAAGGCCACTATTTTTTTACACTGTTTACACTGTCACTACCATCAATGATATTAAATCAATTCCGACTACAAATCGGAAGTATTATACCAAACATCAAAAAAAATGTCTCATCTGTTTTCACTATTAGTATTTTTTTGTAACGTGGATGTCGTAACTTGCATTCATTTTAATCACAATGTGGCTAAAATGATCGCATTTTAAGGATCGCCAACCGTTATTTTAAAAGGGTACTAGTTTCCGCTACTTTATCAATTTTCATATAATTTTTTATATTTAAAAGAAATGTATACGGGGTTGGCCCTAGCGCAGATAAAACAAACCTTACGAAATAATATCAGCTAGACTAATCAAGCTATTTAAAATGCCAATGAGCTTATGCTTTTTCCTCCAGTTATTTATCAAGATTAGTTTCGTTTATCTGCTATAGCTAGAGTTTTTCCCTCATTTTTTTCTGAAAAATAAGGGACTTTAACGGAAAAGGTTTACGGGCCCCTCATTGGGGTTTAAAATCATAAATTTAAAAACAAGTTTTAATATGGCAAAGGTTGTATACTACAATTTCACATGGACTATAAAACAACGATACAGACAATATTATGTGACCTGACCTGAACAGAAGAACGTTATTGTTCTACCATTATGATTATTCGTGCATATCACATTTGTATATTAGATGAGATATCTGCTTTACTCAATATCCGAATTTATAATAAGTTGCAAAAGAAAGTGTGCTTGTGGTTAACAGGGTCATTTGTAAACTTATTAAAGCAAAATAAATGCATATTTGGTATTAAAAAATTGCAGAAATGTATTGACTTCATGATAATTTACATGTAATTTATATGTTATCATTATCAAGGACTTTGATTATTTATAAACAGCTGAGGGATGTATGATAAAAGTTGTAAACAAGTTTGTTTACATTTTTTTATTATGTTTTCTCCTATTGTTGTTGTTGTTTTTTATAAACGCAACAAATGCTGAATAATGGTCACGTTACGAGACAAACAAAAAGACAAAAAAGCGTTAAAACCACTATTCAAAGAATTATCATATTTAAACTCAAATTTAACAAGTGTGTGGTCAAAACACTTCTGAAGATATTGATTCCTTGTGTGTCACTATTTTAGCCATGTATGTATACAAAATTGCCCAAAGTAACCAAGTGCACACTTTCTTCTGCAACTGACTATTGAGAGACTGATTGGTACATAGAAATAAAAGTAAAAAAGTCAATAAAAGCGATTGATCTTTAAGTTATGACCCCAAGCAAGTGCATATCGGACAAGATATCTTCGTAATTAGTTGAGTAGAACATTACACTAAGTGAGGTAAACTGGTAAGATTTCATAAGAATCAAAGGAGTAGGAATCAAAGGAATAGATAATTGTATCATATATATCTAATTAGATGACCATTCCATATAAAGTAACGAATGCGTGTCAATAAAATTAACCACAAACACATACTAGCTTATTTATTCAGTATCTTCGGTTTGCTATCTTTGGTATAGTTTATTGACTGTAGTTCAGTTTATTGCCTTTAGTTCAGTTTTATCGTTGTTGTTTCTTTGTTGTTGTTGTTGTTTTTATTTATTTATTTATTTATGTTTTTTCTTTCTTTCTTTCATTCTTTCATTCTTTCTTTTTTTCTTTCTTTCTTTCTTTCTTTCTTTCTTTTTTTATTTATTCATTTATCGATCTATTTATTTTTTTATCTATTCATTTTTATTCATTTATTTTTATATTTTTATTTTGTTGTTTTCCCTTCATTTTAGTTGTCTTTTGCTCTATTTTTGTCTTTTGTTCAGATGTTTTGTATTTGGTGCATTGTTATTCTTTTGTGCAGTTTGAATGTCTATTACTTTTGTTTTCTTTTTATTATCTTAAATCACTTGATTTGTCTCTTGCTTAATTTAATCGTCAAAAACGCAATGTATATCAATGAAAAACCTATAGAAAAAGAAATTTTTTATGTTTCATCCTTGTTGTAAAAAAAACCCCTCTTACCAGCGACGATTTATTCTTTTGTACGACTGTCAAAACAGAGATGTCTCCACAGGAAATAGATGGAGGCAGAGAGTGACATACTATTCGGATAGCTATAATGCGTGACATTTTAACGGATGTGCCTAGAGTAATATAAGTTTTCATAATACATATAGAATGTCAATTTTGTCAATGTTACCGGCAATTGTTGTCTCCCTGGCAAAACAAATTGCCAGTTAAACAGTATAATGATTCATTTCACAACCCATATATTCTGATAAAATGCAAAGCTCTTTTTATTGTTGTACGAATGTATACACGACAAAAAAATTGCTTTAGTTGTGGACTTTGGTAACTGTTGTCGATTTTTAAAGCATAACGTAAAGATAATATCATCATTTTTGCAGTACATTCACATTTTTGACAGAAATTTTCAACCCAACGAAATATCATATCCGCTCGTAGGTCAAAATATAAAGGAAATAAATTACTCCTGCGAGATTTGAAAATACTTAACATTGTGTATTAAGAATTTTCGGTTTTCATTAATGAAACAAACCTATTTTTTTAAAATCAAGCAAAAAATAACGGAAATTTTGTAGAAATCGTATTTGAAATAAAAATTTGTTTCTTGAGCTTCATTTGAGCTAAGCTATGTCATGTAATTATGCTAGATTTTTAGCTACAGTTGAATATTATAACCCCCTTTTTAATTATGAATACTTTGCCTCAAGAATTGTCAAATTTTTTGAAAAAATACCTATAAATTATGTTTGCATTAATTTTCCTTCGCAGACATTTTTTGATCACTTTTTTAATAACCTAGTAGTCTATTAACCTTAAAATACAAGACGCATTAAACTTCTGGTCATTCACTTACATTATTTCCCTAGACTATGTAATGTCTTTATGTCTGTAATTAATAATTATAAAAAACAATGATTTAGCAATAAAAAACAAAACACTTTTTATAGTTATATTCAATTACTTCTAGAGGACACGCGATCCAAATGAATAGTCTCAAGACATTTATTTAAACTAACTTTTTTCTTTTTCTAGTCACTTATAAATAAAAACATGATGTAATTTTTTTTATTTTTTTTTTTATTTTTATTTTATTTGTCACTATTTTTATAAAAATGATAACTCATTTCAAATTACATCATTATCATCATTTTATCGACATCATTCTTCTTCCTGATTGGAAATTATTTATCGCATCCTCATCATTCCATTTTCACATCATCCACCATCATTATAATCATTATCGTAATCATGATTGTGATAAATTATCACCACCATCGTCATCATTAATATTATTTTCTATCATTGGTATTTTTATAATGATTATCTTCGACCCTATCATCATCAATTTTTATTACCTATATACCTGATCCCTTATTTTTTTTATTAAACTTTTTTCAATTTTAATCATCATCATTAAAATTTTTACAAAATTTTCTTATTTTAAAGATTTGTATTTATTTTTAAAAAATTTAGATTCCCAAAATTTTTAAATTTAAAAGCGGGCAAAGTTTTTTTTTATTTTCTTTTGTTCACTAGTTAAAAAATTTTGAACATGGTCTTGACCATTTACTTCTAATAAAAAAAACTTCAAAATAAAAAATGTGTTATTCAGTTGTTATTGTATAGATAGTTTTTTTCAACCCTAAAATTGTAACATCTGCATGGCAATGATATACCACTGTAAACTATTGACGGAACATTGTATAAAAAAGGGAAGTGAATAAAAGCCTTGCAATCAACTTATCTATGTTGGATTACCACAAAAAGAGTCGTTTTAGTCTTTTTTTATTGTGGTTCCTGACAGACTTTATGGACATTTTTTTATTTTTAAAAATATTCATCCAATAACACTTAAACTTACATTTATATTAGCAGTTTTTCCACCTTGTTTTTGATCTCATTCTGGCAGAGAGTCACAATTACTGTTGATACAAAGCTTATTTGTATCGAGAATCTCGAGCAAAACATTTTTTAAACAGTTATGACCTTTTTGGTCAATAGGGCAAAACTGTGTGATAGGGCTATTATTCAAAATTAATATCGGTGTTTTTTCCTAACATTCGTGTTGAAAAAGACCCTTAGCCCTCTTCCCTTTTTGGAAAAAAAAAAATTCTCGCTAAGAATTGCTAATTTGGAACAAATAAAAAAGCCTGGTGTAAGGCCAGATATTTCGCAAAACTGCATGATTTTAAAGAATTTTTTTTTATTGGACCTTTGTTATATATGGTGTAAATATTGGACTTAAATTTATTTAAAATGTTCTTTAAATTAGCCAAATTTCATAACTGAAGTATTATTTCAATAGCAGTTCGATCAGTAAATTAGAATTGCAAACACCATTGTAATCTTTCCAGCGCCAATTTAAGTGATTTTATTATTAGTATTGCTTCAAATACAATAAAAATGTTTGATTATTAGAGCTGCGAGCCAATACAAATAATCGCAACAATTCAATAAAAATCAACTTTGAGAAAAAAATGACTTTGATTATATTATGTAAAAAGGTTCACAATTCAAGTAATGGTTGACATAATATTATCATATGCAAGAATGAATGATTTTACAGTATTTAATACAAAATTCTACATCGTGACTAATGCAGTAAGAGCTTATTTTCATATTTTATAAATTCATTTGTCGTTTGCAATAAGTAAAATTAATTTCTCTCTTCACTTGAAATATTTTGTTTATTCATTTTCAACATGTATGAATCTGGAGGCTTGCTGCTTTAGTGACTAAAATCATCGTGGTATTTTATCAAACCACTCTACAAATACATATTGGCAAATGTGTCTGTGTCTATTTTAAAAGGTCGCCCACCCAAATGCACTTATATCGAAAATAGCAAGTACAAGTGATATTCAGAGACAATTAAGCGCTTATAAAAGTCATCTTCGGTAGATAATTTTGTAATTTTATGCAAGATTTATTGTGAGTTTCGAAGAAATTAGGTGTTGTCTCAGGGCACTAGACAACTTTTGGGGACAGGTACCCATACCCTCAGGAAGGGGAATTTTGCGTCATTTTAAGACAAAAAGGGGAATTTCAAGCCATATATGAGTTCTTTAAATTTAGGTTTTACACTAACTCTTAGCACAATTTCCTACCATTACTTACAATAGCTCGTATATTTATTACTATAGACCTAACAAATAAAACATATGACATGAAGTTTTTCTTGAGATAGGCTATCTCATTGTTTTCTTTATTGCTTTCTTATTGCACTTGACTGGCTCAGACATCAATCAGAGCTTCAGATATATGTTTTGGCCAAGGGTTTTATACCCCTCAAATTCTAAAGTGAGGGGTAAAATGCAAATTCTGAAAAACGTTAGGGTTATATTAAAATCTATAACAAGCATAATGCATTTTTGTTTATAATAAAAAAAATAAACTGACAGTTGTTTTTGTTGTTGTTGTTTTTTTTAAAAAAACTTGTACAACAAAAATTGAATCAGTGCAACAAGCTCTGGAAAGGCAGACTTTCCTAGGCAAGGGTATGTTGAATCCAAGTTCTGTAAAAACACAGGAAAATTATTTCCTATTATAGTCATAACTGTTTCTTTATTTTTAAAGATAAAAATGTATCACACTATTTTGCGATCTGCACTGGTCAGTTCTTAATCTATTTTCTACATATTTCTGCATGTTCTTTAGATTGAAACAATTATAACAATGAGAATTGAAATAAGAATTAAATAAAAATAAACAAGAAAGTTTAATGCCTTTTCTAAATAAGGTTTTGGTTTCAGAGAAAATTGTCTGTAATTGTAAAACTGGGTATGAAAATATTTGGTACGAAAATATTTGAGTACAAAACTGCAAGAGAAATACGTTTTTTCCAACAACAACTGACAGAAATTAAAATAGTTTTGTTTATTTACTAGCAGAATATAACAATGTATGTCTATTCTCTAAACAAATTGAATATAAGGTAAACTCCTACGATGATTATCTGCCACATTAATTTTGTCAATAATTTTACGAGAGTTACCTCCCTTGTACATTTCTCACTTCCTGCTACTTTCGGTTTTAACATACAGCGTTGTTGACAACTGTAATTTAGTTTTCAATCCATTGAAAGTTAAACAGAAATATATTCTATTTTTATGAAATCAAAACATCATTTTTTTTTGTTTAATATCAAACATTTATACTACAATTTTTTTAGGGGAATTTTCTGCTGAAATAGGGGAAAAAAGCATATGATTTTGAGAGGGGAATGGGGCCGATATTCGGCCCCAAAAATGGCCAAACGAGTGCCCTGTGTCTAGACATGCAGAAGTTATTTCTATGGTTCAAGTTTGCAACCAATATAGGGATACAAGATAATATGTTTTTTATTCGTCTTTTATTATTATCATTTTTATTTTTCTTTGTTTTAGATAAGTTTAGAATATAAAAAATATATACATGCATTAGCAATTTAGTGTGGCGAAAGTCTGAATCTAATTTTTACAATTATTGCGAATCTTGTTTGCTTCTTCGAATTAACCAGTACTTGTGTCATGTGAGGAAACGTGATTTGTTGCCCAAGAAGGGATCGAGCCCACGATCCCTTGGTGGATGTTAGTTTAGAATATTGACAAAGTACACTCATGGGCTGCATTTTAGGTAAACGTAGAAATTACACTTACAGAGTAGTTTCTTCCAAAAGTTGCTTCCATTATTCATTAATGAATGGCAGCAAAATATCGGATTATATTTTTAAATTAAAATTTCATTTTTGTGTGAAAGCGAATCCGAATTAAGAACGATTACTTATACAATATCTTGTATCAAATGTGGAATATTTTTTACATTAAGGATCACTACGACATAAATATAAACACTGAAAGTCCCCACTGTTTTCATTAATTGTAGTATCAAGAACTAACAAAGTCACGTTACTCCATACACAAAGACTGGTCTTAACAGACGGTTTTAACTGTATTCTAAATACAGTTAAACTTCGTTTGATTGAACTAGGAGAGCCTGGACATACATTTATTTGTTCGAGAGATCGGTAGTTCGAGCCAACCGAGGTGTATATCATATTTCACGTAGGACATGAATGTTTTCCAGCTTACATCGGTCGAATGATAAATATGTCAACATAATTGTTTGTTAGTACATCAGTCCGCTTGAATGTTAATGGAGACGGGATTGAATTAACACGTAAATAAGTATAGTCAGTGGGACATCCTTTTGATGGATAAATAATTGATTGAAGTCGGTGTTAAAGGAACAGTGTAATTGAAATATCAATAATAAATATGCTATTATTATTGTGATATAATTGTACGAGAAAACCTTCTCAAGGTGATATTCAGAACAACATTCAAACTGAACAATAAAGTGACCTTGTGTGTTATAAAATAAATGCGAAAATTATAACAATTATTTTAAAACAGAACGACCAACGATCATAATGTACCTGGCTCACACAGTCTTGGAGCAACAAATAATGGAAGATAAAAGCTTGATGTGTTATATTAAGAATATTGACGCGTTGTTTGTCTTTTGTTACCGGTCTCATTACAAAATAAGCAAAGGAGTGAAGTCCAAATTATGACATGCCAATTTCCATACTTGAATTTTGAGCGTATTCCAAATCCTAACTTAAATTGAAAAGTAAAATTAAAGTTTGTCACAGAAAACGCTGAAATGTGTTTAAATGGGCCACAGTGATGCTCCAAAATCGATGTATCGTTACGCCCTAGGGAAGTGGACGACAAATAATTCCATTTCGGTGTCTTCTAATACTACAAAAATATTTATGAAACAGCAGGTTTTTGCCGTCAATTTTCTACAATTGTCAGGGGGAAAACATTGCTATAATCAAATCTGTCTCTTACTGAGAAACATTACCGGACTATTTTAAGAGAGAAAATAGGCCTCCAGATACTCGTCGACACGAAAGATCAAGAATTTGTCACCAAATATTGCAAAAAGCAAGCAACTAGAACTGAAACAATTGAACCGCGGTGGAAAACGTATAAATATCTTAATAGCGTCTTTCTATATTTGTTTAAGTAAGGCTGGGTGATCAAGTGCTAAATTGCTGTCGTAATTAAACGGTTAGTTCGATTTGAAACTTTTGGCGACTCTCCGGTGATACTTTAAACTTTTGTGAATGGTGGCATTTTATGATGATAATATAACTTTGTGTGTTGATTTGGTGTTGCTTTTTAATTAAATCAAACAAAAGTCTTCTATAATTGTATCTTTTATTTTTATCTATTTTGTTGATGTCGTTTTCTTATTTGTTCGTTTATAACATAATAAACATTTTAATAATGAGCGGAAACTTTACTTAAAGAACTTTGATATTTAATGCTGAGAATTTTGTTAGAACAAAAAGAATAAGTACCAAATATTAGCCTCGCTTAACATGTTTGTCAAGATTGTTCATAAAAAGGAAAGAAAGCATTTGGGAAATATATAAATCTTGTTGTTGACAAAATTGTTTTTGAGACAGAAAACTGTACTTTATTTATATTGATTAATGAATAACTCGGTAAATTATCAACAAGTGTATGTATACTCAAAACAGAATGACATATACCAAATTTTGATTTAATTTAGTAAACGAACTATTTTGTAAACGTATTATGCAAGTGAACACAGTTGAATTATAATTTTTTGTTTTGTTTGCCAAGTTTATTCTTTTTTTACTTAAAACAGCTTGTTATCAACTCTCAGAATTGAAAAGAGATTCACTCGGGCACATTCATAAGACGACAAGTTATGAAAACGGTAATCATGTAACGTACGCAGAACTAAATTAAAATATCGTTATTCCGTACAATTCTTAGCATGATTTGGGAAACTTAGATTTTTAATAAACGTTTATTTTAAGGTCATTTTGTTATTCTGGAAAAAAGTGAGCGAATGATTTAAACTTTTGCACACATGGTGTTAGTAAAGATTAACAGCAAACGTGGTATAACAATCTCAAAAAAGGTAACGTACATGTACTGTCATGTAAGACAAAAACTCATTGAAGTCTGTACTTCTTTAAATGAATTAAACAGAATAAAGGAACTCAACTGAGGTCCAAAAGCGTAAAAAACATTTAAAAACCTTAAATACATGTATATCAAACGGGGCAGTTTAAACAGAAAGATGTGTACACACACAAAAAATAACTAAGAAATATACTCAGAAATAAAGTGAAAATCGTACTTTTGTGCCCGATTTGAGTGAAAACATTTTTTAGCTTTGGGTCATTTTTCGCAATTACGATACTTATAATTCTGGAATGAACGGAGTGAGCAAATGATCTGAAATTTTGCACTAGACCTACATGAAATGGAAAATTTATCTTGAAAACTTATTTCTATTTCTAAAAAATCTCAGTGGAGTCCCTTTTAAGAGCACGATATCGTCGTCTGGCAACCTCAATTCCATAATCTGAGCTGCTCGTTTACCAAAGGACCCGGATGCATTAATCAGGTGATCTGTAAGAACTGTCATGCTGTAAATTATGCACTGGTAGGGTTTTTCCATACCTTCGTTTAGTAATTCAATCAGGAAATTGGGAAGATGTTAAAAGTGTCGGCGCGTCTCAATGCCTATCCCCGCGCCAATCTCACAGATACTTTCTCTGTTTTTACTATATGACATTTGTTTGTTGTATTTTCTCTTATTTTGTAATGTTTTTAGGATTGTGCACTGTTTTTTTTTTTGTAATTATATGACATACACTTTGTAAACATAACTAAAAAATGATTTAATGATTTAAATATTTATTTGACTTTATATGAAATACAAGACCATTAAAAGTTCGTGTCCTTTAGTGTAAATATAATCAACTAAAACACAAATTAAGTTGTTTGAACTTCAATCAATTAGTGTGTTAACAATGTATGGAAGTGAGTGGTACATATACATGCCTTAATGTTTAAGATTAAAATAAATTATGCGAATTTTAAAACCATTTAAGATTTTGTTATTTGTTGTACTGATATCATGATATATATATATGCGTAGTTTAAATGAAATATTTTCCATGCGTCACAGGCGATATTTAAACAGCATACATGTTTAATGTGTTTGGTTTTACGGAGTCCAACACAATTTAGAACCTATGACGCCGAAAAGCATACTTGTCATAAAAAGGTTACTATATACGTATTAATTTTATTATACATCAAATATGAAATAAAGTGTTTTTTTTATTTCGTTTATTTAATGAAACACATATGCAGTAAAATTATTAAGGACTATTTGAAGTTAAAGAATGTTCATAAACACATTTTTTTTCATCATTATTTGGCTTATTATTGAAGATCATATGTTCTATGGAGAAAAAAAAGAAGAAAACTAACCTTCTTCACTTTCTGCCTGCGTCGTCGTCGGAACAAGACTCTGCGCTCTTTTCCTGTCTAATACCGCCGGCGGAACCCAGAATTTCTCTTCCGCCGGATCATGCACAGGTGAACTGGGGCTAGATCCCATTCGCTTTCTAGAACAAACTATCCACTCCGTTTTATTTTCACACTCTTTCGAACCATTTTCACCCGAGGACTTCAGCCTCGTGGTTAATTTTTTCAAACTTTTAATGACCTCCACGATTGGTTGTATCGGTTTCGAATCTTTAAAATAAATCCGTTTGCTCGATTTCTTATTTCGTGTAACACCAATAATTCCGCGTCTCGTACTACCACTACTTCCCGCGCTTTCTGATGTCCCCGCAGACGACTGTCGCTGTTGTTCTTCCAATAGATATTTCTCATACCATGTCAGTCTCGAGCGACGATAGCAGTAAACGTAAACACACACTAAAAGCAATAACACTGTAGCAATCGGTGCAGCGATATAAACCACTATTAAGTAATCCGCGTACTTCTTATTTTCCAATTCCATATTGGATATCAAAAAAAGCTGTCTAATCAGAGTTACATAGGCGATTGGGTCAATTATTATGGCAGGAACTGATTGCGCTCGATACGAGAAGCTGTCATGTATGATAAACATTTACATGATTTTGTTTAGAAAATAACAGAAGCGATCGAATGTGATATGTATTTCATTATAATTCGCGGAATGATATGAATTCCCCTAATGTATCTTTTGTGTCAACGTGGTAAAAACTGGCTAATCGTTATTCTGAAATGAAAAGAGAGGAAATTCTCAGATATGTTTTACACGTTTCGCAGAAAATTAATAAAATATGTTTTGTATATTTCAAGCATGTTGAATGGTTTTGACAACTATATTAAAAAAATGAAAATTAGAGAATCCCATTTCTAGTTAAAACTTTCAAGCATATTATTTATCAGTGCTTACAGAACGCTGCAAACTTAGGCCTAAATAAATATAAACATTGGAAAAATAAATAATGAAATAATACGTCAAGCACAGGAATTAAGATTTAATAAAATAACTTTAAATCCTTAATTTCCTACCAATGATATCAAAGCAAACAAAGAATATCGACATTTTATTTATTATAATTCGTATCTTAATAAACCGTCAGACCTCGTTGGTAAGGTACAAGATACAGTTAACCTTTTGCTAGGACCACATATATTGGTATAAATGAATATTTTAAGTATAAAATTGAAATTGTTATCAAGACTGATTTCTAAGAACTAAATATTTATCTTAATATACAAAGATAATTGTGTACAATATGTGCATATGTGAATATGAATAGATTTGTTCGTATTATCAGTCTTTCATCCCTAATATTTAATATTTCAATGAATTTGTATAAACAACCGTATAATAATACACATCTAAATATAAGGTACATATAGTCTGAATGTATCTATAGAACTGCATGGGTCATCAGTAGTTTAACTCTGTTTAAAGATATTCTATGCTCTTCTTTGGGTAAACCTCTTGTATTGCAGAATTTATCTAAACCAAATAAATTCTTACTGAATATGCTTATCAAAATTTGGACGAGAGAATTTGAAAAGCTACATTCCCTATCACAAGTCAACTTAGTCAAGTTGATCAGGTTCTTTCTTAAAAACTACCATTTTTATGACATTATGTATTTATGTATTCATAAGTATTTACTTAAAGAGTCTAGAGTTTGAAACGTCATATACCTTCTGTGCGTATACTCAAAAATTGTTTACTTAACTTTTTTTTAAGTAGTAGTAATTATCAATTCTGTCAAATATAAAATTTGAGCATAACATATTTTTGATATTTTATTAATATTTATTCATCTATGAGGTTGTTTTCTTTTGTAGTTGTGTTTCTTTTTATTTATTTATTTGTTGTTATCTTGCTTTCTTTTTTATATACATTTAGTTGTTGGTATCTTGCTTTATTTCTGAAGGGGTGGAAATGTGTTCAAGGACATCATGGTGTTTGTTATTGAAATTCTCTTATTGTGTAGATTAAGTATACAACATCGGTCACCATTTGTTTACTATATATTAGTAAGATATGTTTTTGTCAGGACATTTTGCAGAGAAAAAAGTCACCACGTTTTTTTCTATCTTACAAATAAGAAGTCATGAGACAACATGCGGTGCTTCATTAACAAACTACGTCATTACGTTACAATCATGTTATTAACAGAAAGTAGACAATTGTTATTTATACATAAGTAAATAACAACAAATAACAACAAACACATCATGTGTAGAGAGACAAGAGGTATTTATATCATATTCCCCTGCTATTAAGAAAATATGGAACGTCTAAGTTTATATGATCGTATACATTTTACATGAAAGGCACATTATGCCTCAGAAATCCGTATTTTTTGTAGTAAACATGCGTAAAATAATTTTTTAATACGGTGAAATCAAAGGCCAGACTTTGGCCTGCCCGGTTGTAGACCACACGTGTATATTTAAAAGGGGAAAAAATGAAATAATAAAAAAAAACAATTTAAAAAAAATAAACGAGATTTTTTTAACTGACTTCACTGTTCATAGGTTTTGCCTACTTTCATATTAATGGATTAAGAGCATGTGGAATGTTTAACAACTGAAGAAGTAACGCTAAACGTGCAGTAATGGTTTGTTATGGTAGCAAAATGTAAACAAAGTAATATTTTGACTTCTATTCAAAACACTTCTTCATTATAATTATACCAATTGCGAACATGATAACAGAATCAGGAAAATATAGTTTATGTACTTTATGACAAATGAGTATTTTTTTTTGAAAACTGTAAAAAGGAGAAACAAAAATGAAAGAATAACGGGCCTTTAAAGGAAATACATTTACGATATTCCCGTAAGAACTTGGCAGTGTACATCATTCTTGTACCTCGTAATATTGAAAGAGCGCCAATATGACAGGGATTATCATCACAAAATCTTGTCCGCTTAGCGCTTGCCAAATTGATAAAGGAACCGGAAATTAACAATGTAAGCCGAATTTATGCGGGATTTTGATGGATGTACTTTCTTAATTAATACATATACTATTCTATTATATAAAAAGGTCATAGCACCACAAAGCTTTATCACGATATAATCTGCTTTTGTTTGAAGAAATGATACTCCCTTTTTAATATAGTTTACGTTTTTTTTATATTGAAATGCCACAATGATATTCTATAAATCCCGTTTTATTAAAACTTCGTTTTAATGCTTCTGCGTGTGTATGCGCATGCGTAAATGGGTTCTTTGGGAAATCATAGTTTGTAATTATTAAATAATAAATCAGGCTACGATTGATAGTATTATAAATATGTTTATTTATTTTTTGTTATAATTTCATTTCATCATTAAGCTATTCATATTACTGTTTATATTTAAATGTTACAGTAGATACTATGTTTCATTATACTCGTACATATGTACGTAAAGCAAATAGTATTAATTAATTTGCTATACGGTAAAAGCCTGTAGCTGAAATAAGCCCCCAGAGTGTCAAGTGATTCATCATAATTTCTACATATCCATGCAAGCACACAACAATTTCGACCAAATGTCGCTACAATTCCCAGATGGCGCACCATCGCGGATTGTGAATCTGTCACGAAATCTCGCCTTAAGCTGAAAAATTATTATTCATAATTCATTTACACGCTTCTGTTAATTAGGCACTTATATTATATTGGTCATCCGTTGTTGTCCAATAAATGAGCCGCGTCACGACAAAACCAACATAATGGGTTTGCGACCAGCATGGATCCAGACCAGCCTGCTCATCCGCGCAGTCTGATCAGGATCCATGCTGTTTGCTTACCAAGCCTATTACAAATAGAGAAACTGATAGCGAACAGCATGGATCCTGATCAGACTGCGCGGATGCGCAGGCTGGTCTGGATCCATGCTGGTCGCAAACGCATTGCGTTGGTTTTGTCATGACGCGGCTCAATTGTCGTTCCATTAAGTACCTGCTGTCGCGCGTTCTCCCAAACCGCCTCGTATAACGGCAATGACGGCTCATTTAATATGTCTAGCGTAGAAATTTTGCGGAGGTCTAGAGGCTTCTTACAGCGCTAGTGTTAATGTTTTTTATCAGCAAGTTCGATTAAGCATAATTGGTCTAAAAAAACAGCTGAAAAACGCTATATGTTCAAAAGGAATAAGTGTTCATAATATTTTGAAATAATAGTAAATGAATATTTTAAAGGCACAATATGCCTCAGAAATCCATATTACTTTTATTTTTTAGAAATGTCAAACATGTGTTTTAAATGTTTATATAATTGATTAAGTTAGATGTTTTTCGACTAAAAAATGTAGCGCTAAAAATGCAGTTCTGTGTCGTTAAGGTAGCCAAATGTAAACAAAGTAGCAGTAACACTTCAATACAAAATTCTTATTTACTAGAATTATACCAATTGCCAAAAGAACTAAAGATGCAAAAGATAATCCATGCATATAGCAAATGAGTATATTTTTAAACTGTAACAAGATACCAAAAATGAAAAATCTTTTCATAAATAAAAATGATAGCATCTCTAAGGTATAATATGTCTTTAATACATATTTAATTTGTTACATTACCAGTCTGATCCAAAACATTAAATTTTGAAGTATTCAAAATCATCTCTTGTTCGAATCATACAAAACATGAACAGTTTTCTTAATATTTTATAAGGAATCTAGTTATCAATTAAAGTTCAAATGTAAACTTTTTTATATTCTTACATAACTGTGTTGTTATTTGTAAGAAAACCTTTACAGTATGGCACGTTACTTAGAACTTCTAAAATACAGTAAGCGTGTTATAAAGGGACGATAGCCTGACACACAAACTGATTTGTTATGACACAGTTACTTCCCTTTGTTTTGTCCCGAATGGATTCCAATATTACGTCGTGTCACACATTTCCAAAGCTAGACGCGATATTTAATTCGTTCACTTCATATTCTATCAGACGTATTGACAGATAATTGCAAAATCGTTTCTTTGAATTTCCGCTCATCATTTAAATAATTGATTGGTATTTTTTTTAAAGTAGGCTAGGAACAAATCGATTTCCATTTTTTTTCCACGAGAACATACGCAAATTTGTAAACATCTTTCATCCTTTGATCTAGTTGTTGATAATTAAACATGTATCAAGGTGTCGTCTGCTCTTCATATAATGAACTAATGGAGACCCAGTGGTTAAACAATGAAAGTCTTGAAAATCCCTTTACGACCAAAATGCATACAATCTTATAAATCGGTTAAAATGATAGAATTTAAGAATCTAAGGAATGCTGGCCGCGCATTGACTGAATATGCAATCGTGAATCTGGCGGTTGTGGGAGAGGAGTGTATAAGGGTGCCCTAGTCATTAAAAATAATATATAATGAAGGTCCGGATTTCAACTTAAGTTTTTAAATCAGCGAAAAATATAAGTCATGACACTTCTCAAGCACGTTATAAGAAATTATGTTTTTGTTGAAATAATGAATTTAGATAAAAACAGATGCGTATCGCCAGAAGAAAGTAGCTCAGAATTTTAAATAAGTTGTGGTATAATTAACAAAATGTGACCAATGTGGTATTTTACCTGACAATGTGGTATTTTACATTATATTAAAAATATTAAATCTATTCTCGATGTATATTGTTTCTACACTGTGATAGAACACTAAATGTAATTAGCTTTTGAAAATCAAAGTGCTGCAGCACTGAATGCGACGGACATG